ACCCTACGGTTTAAGTCGCTAATAGATGTCGCTGCTGTTTTTATGTCTTTCCAAGCAATATCTGGGTCATCCTCGTTTTCAGAACTGTTTAACTGTGACCTCAGTTGTTTCCAGATCCTACTTTCGGCTTTCTCGTCACTCAATTCAATTCTAATAGGACTTCGTAATGTGGCTTTCCTGAGTCCAGTGAGGCTCAAGCAGATGCGTCTCCTCATAAGAGCATGGTTGGAGTCCAAGCGGGTATTTCAGGACAAGCGACAATCTATCGATCCTCTCCAACAACGACTGATAGCAATATGGCCTATTCGAGTCCATCGTTGGTTTGGTGCTTAAAATTAGTGTTTGCTAAAAATAAATGCTTGTCGGAGCACAGCTGCAGCAGACGATCACCATTAGGGGTTCGCTTGGTTGAGATACTAAAATACTCACCTTAATGTCTTTCTTTTTGGTTTAAGCTACCTACGCGGGCATTAAAGTCACCTGCTACGAGTACTATGTCTGAACGTTTAGCTTTATGAAGAAGTTCAAAAAGCTTTTGTAAAAGTCATCTTTCACTTCATCCGGGCTGCAGTCAGTGGAAGAGTAGGCAGAAATGACGAAAAAAGGCGATGACGTGTGTCCCTATCCTTCCAAGCTTTTACGGAGCCGTTTAACCGAACAGCACATAAATTACTGTTAACGGCGGTCACTCTAATAATGCTTGTTACACCCTTGTACTTAGCGCTATGCCTACACCTGCCAGTCCACGAGAACTGGCCGTCGGGTCACCAGATACACGGAGAGTGTATCTCGTCGGTTCTTCATTTTGACTAGGTGAGGTCAAATTAATGACAACACTGGGATCCTGTATGCGTGTTTCGGAGATACAGCATACATCAATGGGACGAAATTATATGGTTTTAGCCAAGGAGGTCTGTTGGCCGATTCCACACAGGGTGCGTATGCTGAAGGCTCCGATGTGTAGTTTGGAGCGAGATTTCAGCAGACCTGGGACAGTATTTTGTGCACTAGAATCGTTGGCTATGGTGAGACTTGAAGAGGACGACAAAAGGAGAAAGTTAGAGTTGAAGTCAAGGTTGGAGTAATAATAGGAATCGAAGAGGGAAATCGATTATGAATACAGTGGTCTTGAATGCTGTTAGAAATATGAGGGCGGTTATCATTTCCCGGTTGCCTGTCCACACCGTGGAAGGTTTCTTCCGGAGGTACCTGAAAATGAAATTGGACTAAAGGTGGTCATAGAGACCTGAGAGCGTGACCGCAGTGCCCAAGGGACAACTGATTGAGGTCGGTCACACGACTGTTTGTGGGTAATTCTGTTAGGTCCGTACTTGTTGAGACGTTACCGCCGGAGACGGATATCCGTGGGATAAGGCGAGGTGTGCATTTTTAGGGTCGACCTTTTCTAACCCCACCCCTCCTTGTGGGAAGGCAGCATCGCTGTCATGCTGGTTGTCTGAAGGAAACACCTTACTGCTGTCACACCTCTGTACAGTCAGCAGTACGACTTCGCCCTCAGACCTTGGGTTTGTTGCTTTTAGTCTTACCGCTCATCAACCGACCTGTCTGACACGGTAGGACTTTGAGGAACGATTGTTCCAGCCAGTATAGCTCGGTCGCTTCATCACGATAGACAAGCCCAACTAACACGTCAAGGTAGCAGCAACGGTCGGGTTATAGGTGTATAGTGAATAATAGTCATAAATATAAATATTTGAACACAAATATTAGTACGAGGGGACACCAAATACATATGCGCCACACAGTGAATAATAGTCGCCAGATGATCGACACTTACTCAGAATTATGTATTACGGAACTTACGGTTTAGACCATAAATCAAAGAAAACCTGATGACTTCTTTTAATGTATGATCATTTGCTACAATAATGAAGCTCAACTACCGAACAAAGGTTTCGCTATTCGCCTTTAGCTCCAGTTTTTGAGGTGGTAATTTCACAAGACTATTTAGACCAAATAAGAAAAGAGGTTTAAACTCAAGACATATAGATTGAATCCCAAGTGATTTGAGTCGACGATAAGTTCTGACGATTATATTTACTGGTCTATAGAATATATATTACTAGTATCAGTACTAATGAAATTTAAGGCAAAAACAATTGAAAATGAGTAACAACAGCTGTCATTACACCAATTTAGAAATTTACAAACACAACACACCGTTAACATCTTTCGATTTTGTCGCACATTGTAAGAATTTACTGGATATTCATCAATTTGTAACCCAGAAAATTTTCAAAAGCATAAGTATCATTAAATACATTTGAATCTAAATCACAAGAATTAGACTAAAACAAAAACAATTGAAGTGACAAGATAAATATGGAGTCGTCATATTTCGCGATTTCTCATCAGCTGTTTACAACTTAAACATAATGGTGTTCACATTATTGAGAATAAGATTACATACTTCATCATACAATATAAGTTCTTATCAGAGATTAGTGAAAAATGCAATAAGTATGGAAAAATTACAAGATATATTTATTCGCTAGATAACATGAATATTCATAGGTTGATTATAAGAATATTTCAGAATGAAAACTAAGAGCATAGTAACAGAATTATTTAAAGATGAGATATTAATGTAACCCTTGAGACGAAATTGACTGATCACAGATCAGATAAAGATGGGGATTAATGATCAGTGCCATGTGAAACGAGTAACAAACATTTATGATTAAAGGCACCACGACAAAACAAGGTTGGTAACTGGATGAATATGTTTGGTTTAAAACTTTTCACGGAAATCGCTACATCAAGCCATAGTAAATTCAACGTCCTTTTTTTACTAAGTATCTTAGACGACTCTGAGACATAAACATCATGGTCATTGACAAATAGATGATGTTCAGTCACAATGCTAAAAAAGTGTTCCCCTAGTTTAAACTTTTGTGAAATGTGCTTAGAGATGCGGATACTAATCCTCCTTTTCTGTTTTTCCAATGTATGTACTTTTGGGCGTAGATATAAACTGGTAGATACAATTGGAAGTAGTATAGAGAGAACTGTTCACAAACAACCGTCTTAATTCGTTTGATACATGGAGATCGGGTTGGTAATTGTATATATCCTTTTATTACGTCTTTTAATCTAGAACCAATCTTCCTAGTTATTTCATCATCCTTGAAGCCAGGTTTCTCAACCGTAGCATACTGCATTTCCTTCGCTTTAGTCTTCTCATACTTAGTTATGAATTGTTGAGAATAATCATTACCACGTAATCAAAGTTCAAGTATGGTTAATTAACCAGTGTTATCTTCTAAAGAGTAATACGAATGGTCGATTGGGAAGATATACTTATCGTAAGGACACATGAGGTGGTCTATACTTAGACTTCAATAATCTACAAAATAGCTTTCGTCAGAATACTTTTCAATCGTGTCAGAAGAATATATCCTAATTTATAAATGGGATAACTTGTATGAAATCGTAAGAATAATTTTGTTAGTCAAGATCAACATACGTGCTGGCACGTGCATAAGCTCAATTTACCCACCGCGTCAAAACGACGAGATGAAATGAATAAAATGAGTAGTAAAGAGATCAAAACAATGTGATAGCAATGAGAAAGACCGGAAATAAAGGATATGGTTCAATAAGATTGAACAGAAATTTATGTGCAAGGGGATACTGGAAGCCAAAATCTAAATGAACATTGAGTGCATTTGAGTCCCTGTGACCAATTATGAGTCGTGTTGCACGTCTCTAACGATTGACCAAGGTCATCACGCAGACCATATAACTAAATAGCTTGATATCACCACGACTTGGGTCAACAACTTGTGATTTCATGAACTGACACGATGTCTTGGTTTAAATATGTTTGAAAGGATTACGAGATCACCTAAAATCGGTGGACGGAACGAAGGATCAGAGACAAGACAAGCTAAACTATTCCGATGCATCTCAGCTCTGATAACTAGAGGAAGACCCGGTTCAGATGATGAAAAGGTATATTCCACAAGCACCGAGAATCTCAAACAAGAACAAGCACACAACTCAAACGTATATATATACTTTTCACAGATTTAAATCATGAGTCAGTTGAAGCTAGACCACCATTGAAAACCTGGAAGCACTGGACGGCCGTTTCGTCCTAGTATGGGACTCCTCAGCAGTGCGCATCCACGATCCCGCACCACGCGGGGCTCGAACCCAGGACCTACTGGCTTCGCGCGCGAGCACTTAACCATTAGACCACTGAGCCGGCATCCAACGGTGTTAATGTCTAACTTCAACCAATCCACGAAGTTGCGCCACCATATACCATTGTCTTCAGTGAGCTGATATCTCACAACAGACCTGGTTGAACTCCACTGGTAACGGCTTCCCACTAGAACTCCAGGAGTATCTCTTGAAGTCAGTCACTAGTGAGCAGATGTTTATTATCAGAAGGGGTTTGTGGAGATTTTAGAAATTTTCACAGATTTAAATCATGAGTCAGTTGAAGCTAGACCACCATTGAAAACCTGGAAGCACTGGACGGCCGTTTCGTCCTAGTATGAGACTCCTCAGCAGTGCGCATCCACGATCCCGCACCACGCGGGGCTCGAACCCAGGGCCTACTGGCTTCGCGCGCGAGCACTTAACCAGGATCGTGGATGCGCACTGCTGAGGAGTCCCATACTAGGACGAAACGGCCGTCCAGTGCTTCCAGGTTTTCAATGGTGGTCTAGCTTCAACTGACTCATGATTTAAATCTGTGAAAATTTCTAAAATCTCCACAAACTCCTTCTGGTATATATATACAGCATAAAAATGTCCTTAGGAAACTTTACAAAATAGCGATTCGACAAAGTTGACACATCCCAACCACTCCAGGTGATGGAAATTCACAAACTCAACAACCGACTAATCATCTTTAGTTAGCACCCTGTGTTTGATTTCAACATGAACTACTGATACTACTTCAATTCGATTGACTATTCTTAATAGTCATCATTAACAACAAAATAAATAATAGTCAAAAGTAAATATAATGAATAGATAATTTTATTAAAAAACTGGCTTATAATTTAGAATCAATAATCGACATTATACACGAATGCGTTTCATCCACAGTTTGACCTGTTGCTGGTATCCAATGCCAGAGTCTCGGTTCACGCTCATTTGTGTCATCATTCTCACTTAACTCAGACTCCATTTCACGTGATAAACGACCGTAATAAATAAGAATTCGTTTTTGAAAATCCATTGTTTCAAACTTTTTGTCACTAAATGCGTCACGAACTGAAATTTCAGCAAAATTTTCTGGAGCAAGGCAAAATATAAAATCAGGTTGCAGTAACCCATACTCCATAGAACGGCACCATTTCCAATCAAATTCAGAGAGTGGATGAAATTTAGCGGCTGTGTTAGCAATACCAGAATAACTGTAACGATCTACAACAACGCTAATACCAGCTTTTAATGCATTCGAAATTTCATCTTGACGTTCCCATCTACAGTGAAAGCAAAACTTTTTTTAAATGAAGTAGATAGTTCGGTCCAAGATTTATCAACAATGAACCTAACCAAACATTTATATTAACTACTATTTGATAGACTTCACTACACACAAACCGTAAGTCAAAAAAAGTTATTTAGCGAAAATATGCCCACTGAGTACTTGAACAAACAAAAACATAAGTCAGTATAGTGGTTGTGGAGATTATTATTATTATCAGTTCATGATCTCAATCAAAATTAAAAACATAAAGCTTAAGCTGTTATATACACAGGATAGATTTATAACGAATAGCACTGTGTACCTTGCCTATACTCTCGAGTACCGGATTAAACTACGTCGGTTACTCCACTAGATACGCCAGTCATGTATAGTTATTGTTTATTAATTTGAACAAATAAATATTTGTACAAAAGGGGCACGAAATACACAATAAAAATGAGTCTGAGAACAAATAGAGAATGTAAATTGCACATGAGATAAAGGAGAACAACAACGGACAGGAATTACTGGATGAAAATGAAATAATATCAATAATAATAATAATAATAATAATAATAATAATAATAATAATAATAATAATAATAATAATAATAATAATAATAATGGGAGAAACAGTTCAGCAGTTTAAAAATCCCCATAGAATATTCAAAAATGAAAAAATATTTGAGCGAACAATTGTTTTCAATAACTTCATCATCATCATCAGGCTCTACAGTCCAGAATTATGGTGATCTTTTACAAAGGCCAAAACAAGGCATGGCATTAATGAATTTGACAATGTTATATGTTAAAAATGGTGAACGTGTGAATCTGTTACAACCTAGATACAATTCAAAATTGTGTTATTTACAAATTAGACCAGCCATTTAATAAAGGTCAAAATGATTTGGAGTAAAGTGTCAAGTCACAATCAGTACAACAATAGTAATATAGCAAAGAATGAAAATGCAAAAACTCGCGTGAATAAAATGCATAGTAGGAGAATTTCATCTTGTTAATCGAGATAATGTTATAACGTTATGACAAATAATAATAATAATAACAGAATTGTTGTGTGAATATAGTATGTAATAAGGGGGGTGTTATCAAGAGTAATTACGATTAAAAAAAGGGAAGGAGGTAAGAGGTTTACAATATTCAGTTTAGGTATCCAGTGATCCAGTCGTAGGCCAAGGTACACATAGAGGCTGGATATATAAGTTGGTTTTCTGGAATTGATCTAGATGGCTTCGGCTATGTAGAGTAGCCGTAATCTAGCTCCTTGAGGTAGGTTTTTTGGAACTTGATATAAAACAGAGAAAGCTTCCTCTATTTTGATATAATGTTCACTATCTACCAAGTGAGAAAATGATGAGTAGGTGAGGATAATAATGATTGGTTGTTTGCTTAGTCGAACATGTAAATAGTCTGATAAGTGGTGTCAGATGAGTTATGTATTCCCTTATCCTTATTATTGTCTTTTTTATTGATTGTTCATTGTTGTTGAATTCTGTCGGGTTTTTGGTGTGGAAATATATTTACGTTTTAGTCAGGCTAATCACGTGTTCTTGATCTGAGTTGTGTTGAAGTCCTGTAGAATAGACACTGGGAGGGAATTTAGTGTAGATATTCAATGTAAATATATTTCCATATATTCACACAACAATATTGTTATTATTATTATCTCGATTAACAAGATGAAATCCTCCTACTATGCATTTTATTCACGCGAGTTTTTGCATTTTCATTCTTTGCTATATTACTATTGTTGTACTGATTGTGACTTGACACTTTACTCCAAATCATTTTGACCTTTATTAAATGGCTGGTCTAATTTGTAAATAACACAATTTTGAATTGTATCTATGTCGTAACAGATTCACACGTTCACCATTTTTAACATATAACATTGTCAAATTCATTAATGCTATGCCTTATTTTGGCCTTTGTAAAAGATCACCATAATTCTGGACTGTAGAGCCTGATGATGATGATGATGATGAAGTTATTGAAAACAATTGTTCGCTCAAATATTTTTCATCTTTGAATATTCTATGGGGATTTTTAAACTGCTGAACTGTTTCTCCCATTATTATTATTATTATTATTATTATTATTATTATTATTATTATTATTATTATTATTATTATTGATATTATTTCATTTTCATCCAGTAATTCCTGTCCGTTGTTGTTCTCCTTTATCTCATGTGCAATTTACATTCTCTATTTGTTCTCAGACTCATTTTTATTGTGTATTTTGTGTACAAGTATGTATTCAAATAATTATAGTTAGGTAGGATGCAGTTATAAATGTTCAAATACATTAACTTAAACCCTTGAAGCTAAAAGAATCAACAAATGAATACTAATTTTATGCTTTCCAACAAACTGATACCAATACGCAGAAATGAACAGTAAAGCAATAATTATGCCTTTTGCTGCTAGGCAACCATTTACGGGTGTGTATATTTATTCTGAATTTCTTATGGGTTAACGGTAATATCTGTCTGGTGAAAATATTTAAAGTAGAGAGAATTTGTAACCAGTTTTAACCTAGTACTTACCAACCGATAGCCTACATGTTTAGGAGTCATTTTGTATATCAATGATCTGTGAAAAAAATCTCACTCATGACAACCTGGTTACAACTTGTTGGATGCCTTTGATATGTAGTAATAAAACAATAAAGAATTCTACCAGACTAATTTTTTAACACTGAATTAGGAATTTCATACGATATTTCCTATTCAGTCAGTCAGTAACAACGTAGAACTTCGTACGTACGTACATCAGTTCGAGTTGCCACGCCACATTAGCACAGAGATGCAGTGGTCGATTCGAATCCCGAATGAAGTAATTCAGCGTGTCGATCGCTTCACTTATCTTGGAAGTCTCATCAGCCCTTGTGGTCTGGTGTGTGACGAAATCTCAGCAAGCATAGAGAGGGCTCGACTAGCTTTTACCAACTTGCGTAATTTATGGCGTAGGCGAGATATCCGTCTATCAACCAAAGGACGTGTTTACTGCGCAGCAGTTCGTTCCGTCCTACTTTATGGCAGTGAAACATGGCCGGTAAGAGTAGAGGATATTCGTAGGTTACTAGTATTCGATCATAGGTGTCTTCGAAACAGTGCTGGTATATCCTGGGACCATCGAGTAAGTAACACAGTTGTTAGGAAACGGGTACTAGGTAAGGATGACAAATCAATTGATAACGTATTGAAACTTTATCAGTTGAGATGTCTGGGACATGTGTTACGTATGCCCAACGACCGACTACCTCGATGTACGATGTTCAGTGGTGTAGGAGTAGGTTGGAAGAAAGCTAGGGGCGGCCAGACCAAAACATGGCACAAGTCCATGAAGTCACTGACAAGTGGACTGAGTCATGTTAGTAGGTGTAGACTACCTGGTTGCGGACCACGAGATGATAGCAACCGATGGTTAGAGACCCTGAATGACATGGCTCAAAATCGTTTGCAATGGTGCAGGTGCATACACTCTTTGTGTTCTCCCAAATTTTGATCTCCTTATTCCTCCTTGTCTCTTTTTTTTCTCTTCCCAAATTTATTTCACTGTATTATACTCTTTAAATAACATCTCCAAACACTAATTTTCCCGATTACTGCTTATACTTTTACTACCAGTACCACTATGGGATTTGAATCGACAACTGCATCTCTGTTGTAATGTGGTATGGCAACTCGAACTGATGTACGTACGTACAAAGTTCTACGTTGTTACTGATTGACTGACTGAGTGCTAGATGTAGTAAAATTATAAGCTGTAGTCAGGAAAATTAGGGTTTGAAGATGTTATTCAAGGAGTATAATCCAGTGAAATAAATTTGGAAAGAGAAAAAAGGGACATGAAGAATCCAGAAGACTAGAATTTGGGAGAACACAAAGAGCGGTGCGCCTGCGCCATTGCAAACGATTTCGAGCCATGTCATTCAAGGTTTCTAACCGTCGGTTGCTATCATATCGCAGATCCCAACCAGGTAGTAGTTTACACCTACCAATATGACTCAGTCCACTTGTCAGTGACTTCATGGACTTGTGCCATGTTTTGGTCTGGCCGCCCCTAGCTTTCTTCCAATCTACTCCAATACAACAAAACATCGCACATCGAGGTAGTCGGTCGTTGGGCATACGTAACACATGTCCCAGACATCTCAACTGATGAAGTTTCAATACGTTATCAATTGATTTGTCATCTGTTATAATCTCTTTCTTCTTACGGTTATGACCCAGCTATTCCTATTGCTTAGTATTCTCGGACACCGATTCACTCGACAAGTCCCCAAATCAGAACACGGTTGAACAAGAAAAAGATTATATTCCAAATAGCAAGTCAGAAGCCAGTAGGAAGCACAATAGGGGAAAACGTCGGTATATTTATAGTTTTTACATAAGAAGATTCCAGAATATTCTCCGACTATCGACTAGTGCTGATTGGATAAGAATCAGCCAATCAGCGTGCACCAAAGCAATCATGCATTGAGCATGCTTTAATCTAGTCTATGTCCCGCTAACATCATCCTTACCTAGTACCCGTTTCCTAACAACTGCATTACTTACTCGATGGTTCCTATTGATAAATTTAAATAAATCAAGAACCACAAACATGGTAGAATAACCTGAATTCATTATATTTTGTGGTTTACATCAGCTGTATACAACCAAAAATTAATTCTTCCTTTTCTTTTCATACATTTTTGAGTTTTATTTGAACTACACCCATTTTCATCTCAATCAATTCATTTATTGTTGTTGTTGTTGTTATTATTATTATGTAACTATGAATATCAATCTTCTAGAATTCCCATACTATTTATCATGTAAATATTCTACCATTTGAACACAATTTATAATTCCTATTGATTAGAACATTTCTGATATTATGATACAAAGTATATACACCGACATTTTAATGGTTAGTACTATTATTATTAGAATGAGAGTTTGTGTAATGTAGTAATTTAATGGCTGAATTCATCAGTCGATTTAATCTAGACCGCGGTCGTGCAATATAGTGGGTTGGTTGAGGCTAAAAATTAACACCGTTGGATGCTGGCTCAGTGGTTTGGTCTAAGCATTCACGCGCAAGACCGAATGTCTTGAGTTCGAATTCTGTGTGCGGGATCGTAGATGCGCACTACTGAGTAGTCTCATACTAGGACAAAACTACCGCCCAGTGCTTCCAGGTTTCCCATGGTGATCTAGCTTAATACTATTATATTTAAGTTGTATGGAGCTGAGGAGAAACCATGAAATAAAATGAATTCAGGTTATTCAGTTACGTTCGTTTCACTGTCTATTAGACTGACATCAAAATCGATAAAAAGTTGATCATTCCCTGGTAAATAAATGGAATTTACTAATAAGCAAGTTAATGTATAAACCGTGAAACATAACAATTGAAGTCGCCATTAAAGATGTAATGAACTATTCGATACTTCAAGGTTAAGAGTTTATCAATGTAAATTTGTTTCATTGATACTACATGAAAGCTATAAAACTGGTAATATGACCTAAGTAACTCAATAACATGTAAAATGTTTTAAGTATTAACGGGTAATGAAGAATCACCTACCTGTTAGCTATATAAAGAAGATGAGCTGCATGTGGTTCCAGTTGGAGTTTTTCATCAGAGTATTCAGCCAGTAGTTTCCCTATTGGTGTACTTTTGTCAGGAAAATGAATCAACAGGGTTTGTTTGCCGGTAATTTGAGTTAAAGCTTCCTGTAATAATTCTGATTGTGTCTTTTTGCCACATTTTTCAACACCTTCGAAAACGACAAATAAACCACGTTTCGTAGTGTCAGGCATTTAAAATCCGTAGTGTTATGTATATATAACACCGACACTAATATATCTAAGAAAGGAGAGTAGAAATGTTTAGTCAAACTGTGTAAAGTAAGAATGAACGGGATGAAAACACGGTTAATGAAAGAAGAGCTTAATGTCAAAACCTCATGATTTATAAAAATTCACATTATGAATAATAAACATTACCTCTAACAACTGTTGGGATGGTCTAAATACTAATCCACGGGATATCAAATAAGTTATACGAGATTCTGATATGTTAACTTGGACTGGTACACATGTCACAGGTTCTAAGTTATGTACAACTGGCTATCCACATTATACATGAAGGTCCCTGTGTTTCAGTCAGTTTGATGATTTAATAAGTATTCTAGTCGATAGTGATGGATAGACATGGTAGATATTAATTCAGGTAAGATCTCATTTTCAAATCGTAATCCACAGCAAAAATGTTAGCCTTGGACGCATACTTACCTGGGACTCAGGAACTTGCTGGACAATAAACCAGGGGAATCAGTTTCACTAATTTAGGGTTGAAAATATTAGCCCTTAATTATTCGACACCATAATGAACCCTCGTCTTATCCAATGGTTGTGAAACATTTGAAGCAGGCGTTTCTTATCTAGGTTCCATATTTTAAGTATACAAGGGGATGATGGAGAAGTAAGCAAATCTTTGGGAAAAACGAGACCTATGTTTGAAGCGATTACGAGCTCATCTAATCTGAGAACAGAACGAAGACTCTGTGACACAATGACATAAGCTAGCTATTCCAACACGTCCCAGCCCCGCTAACTAGAGAGAAGTCCAAGTTCGGAAGTGGGGAATATATTCCACAAACAGCCAAAAGTACGAACAACCACGACAAGTGTAGTCCGATATACACTCGTTTATATATTGATTCATACACCCATTTTTTATTAATAATTAGAATAATATCACATATATGAAAAATACTTACAATTATAATAAACCATATGCTGAGTATAGTTCATGTTAGCTTAATACAAGAATATCGTATGTTATAGAGAAAAACGTCATAGGGGAAAACAAAACAAATACCATACTGAGTACTCATCACATTGAATTAAAACGGGAGTAATGTTGAGTAGAAATCATAATGAGTAAATCAGTCGAATTTTGACTTTTCATCCCGTCATATCGCAGAGATCTGAGTTCCCAATAGTCTAAGGTTTTCTTCCGATGTTCCCACCAGTGGGGGAATTTCCAGAATTTATATAAACTCTTCTATCCCACAAAATCTTGTCTTTTCGCAAACTTCAAGCCCTTAGAGAACTAGTTATTTATTAATTACCCCGACTTTTACTTAAAACATACCTTTCTACACAATACTACTAAGTTAACTGGTGTTCTTGATGTATACATATATGTATTTGGATTTCCAACATATACTAGTAGGATCTAGATTCTTATAGCCCCCAAATGCCCTGGTACGGCTGAGGGTGGAGAGAGTTCGCTCTTCCTCTCGAAATGGACACGCGTATACAGCCACTTCCAGACAAGTCCTACTTACTGTCCTCTCGAAGTGGGAGTGTTGTCTACGAAATTGAGAGGACGAAAAGCGAATGTCCGGCGCTCGAACCGGGTTGATGAATACGGAGGGTCCATTTAAAGGAGTTGGAAAACCCTGGTTCCAAACCAATGATGCACATAGGCTACGGGATCGTGAATGGACAAATGGTGTATGAACCTATTGTCGATCACCGGCTATCATGGGACTGCATTTCTCAACGTTGCTCCATTGTCTCGTGGAACCCGGGCAGTAGCACAGTTCACACACAAATCAAGTGACTTGTGTGGCGCATATGTATTCAGTGCTCCTTTGTTAACATTTTGGTAGACCAACTTTAACTGATCTAAATTTAAGTAATAGTTGAATGCATTTCTAGAAATTCGTTCATTTAAAACCAATGTTTTGACATTACTGATGCTACGTATGTCATGGGATATCGCAGCCGAGTAGGCTGAATTGGTACTTATTTTTATGCTTATGGATCCCAGGCTTTCAATCGGATTGTTGACAAAGCGTTAGTGAATGATCTGTCTGATGAGATAATCAACCAAAATTAGACGAAAAAGTAAATGTAGCATGGATTTTTGATCTTCGAAATTTTCACTTCAGACACCTGAAGAACTAAGTAAGATAGAGGCTACATTAGATCAAGAATTCCGTGATTGAACAATGTCGAACAAACTTCCAACTACTCATGGTCATTATGAAACGAAAAGCAAGTTGGTTATCAGTAACCCGGGACGATCCATAGCATTTATTCTATTTATTTATTTAAAACTGGTTTAAAGGGGCACCCAAATATATATGCGCTATACCAAGTAGTTATCATTCAATTCGTATGTGGGATGGGATAATACTAGGGTGCCCGAACCGAAAAAAGTAGTTTCAGTAGTAGGCCACTCCCAGAGCTTCTAACCTAAAGATTGAATTTGCAGGCCATCGCAGAAACGTTAGGAAATGCCGTCCCATAGTAAACAGTGACCAAAATACGGAAAGCGGACTCTACCCACCCTCGGCTGTACTAGACCATTTTTGGCTAGTTAAGTACTCCAGATTTCAGAGCTTCCTTGTATGGGAAAGATTTCAGACAAGCCATAGATTCTGAAAGTCAGGGTTCCTTGTACGATGTAAGAGATATTGATGGATGAATATCGAAAGATAATGTAAGAATCAGTAAGAATGGCTTATTGGATATATATTTATACGTCAAAATTTGTAGCTTGTCGGCTTATTCAATATTTAAAAATTAATGTGTACTATCACATTTTAGCTGGCTTCTTAAACACTAATAGACGTCAGTGTGCTATTGCTACCATACATCGTCAGTCAGTCAGCTACAACGTAGCACCAGGCACATTTATGCATCGGTCCAGGTTGCCATAACTCATTAGCACAGCAAGATGAACACCGGATTCATAAAAGTAGTGAACTCAGAGGTGGTAATATATAAAAGAAAGATTGCATATAAGGATACAGTACAGGAAGGAAGAATTAGTTTATAGAAAGAAAGATATGAAGCAATTTTAATCTCTTAGTTTAAGGGAAGACAGAGAGTGTATACACTGACGCCATTGTGATCGATTCTGAGCCATGTCACCAAGAGTCTCCAACCATTGGTTACGAAAGTCACGCGGACCCCAACCAAGTAGTCTGCATCTACCAACATGGCTCAGACTAGAGGTTAGTGTCTTCAAGCACTGATGCCATATACATATTTATTTACAATCTTTCAGTTTGCATCGTTTTCATAGGTCTATATACAATTTTGCGACACGTATTTTGCCAACCAATTCCGTAGCTGTTTCATAATATTCACTAATTGGTACGATCTTTTTTTAAATATTTTCACTAATTTCTTTAACTGGTGAATTCTTTAAAGGCTTGCAATCAAAGTAATACATCTAATGCCTTGCTCAATTTCATGTCCTAATTATGTATACTAGTATCCATATCAGTGACTGAACTGGTTTGATTAACATTTCTTATCATGTACCTTCAATCATCCTATTTGTGTACATTTTCTTTGAATAAGTTGTAATATATTCCTTCTTAATATTGTATATTAGTGACAATACATATTTAAATAAATCGACCCTCAGCTTGTTGACTTAATCTAGTTCCTGTGTCATCCACCAAAATCATCCACCTGAGCTACAAATCTTCTCTACCATCTCAACAGAAATCATGTTTGTGATAAACATCGCTAGTCAGATACTATATTATATTTCTTTTGCCAAAAAGCGACGATCATCAACCGCTGTGTAAAATATGAACACTTAGCGTTATCCCATTGCCTTGTGGATTAGACCTCTAGGTCAAAGGCTCGGAGTGTCCCCCTAAGAGAACCACCTGCTTCAGTCCGGGCAGTATCACAACCTAAACACAAATCGAATGACAAGGTAAGGTGCATATATATGCGACGCCTCCCTGTACCAACGTTCTTATGTTTAAATAAATAAATATATTGGTAAATCCATGACATCACTAACATCCATCTTTGCAGAATACTGTAAACCCAAGTTTGAATCAACTTTAGGGAATCACCTCACTTCTTTACACCACAATATGGAGGACTGAAACAACTTATGTAAAATCTATGTTTTTTCCAGACATATATATTGCCCTGAATATTATGTCGACCTTTTAACTACGGTCGAACAAAAATATGACGCTATGTATTGTGAGTGTTGATGGACAAGGACTACGTCTACAACGTGAATGAACTTCAGTTATCGGTCCTTATGTGAAGATAAAATACCACCTAAGCAGAAAGTTTACTTGGTTGGATTTATGTAGTCAACTATGTACGGTGCTATGATGTAGATAGTTAAGCAGGCAGCTTAGGGGGAAACTACTGGACTGAATTTGGAAGATCGAAAATGTATAAGAAGTCCATTTGAATTTTGGGGGAATGGAATTTCGATGTTTCGTTTCGACCGATATTTCGAGGCTTTGCATGAGGTTGCTAGAAGTTTCGGGAGGCTTATGCACTAATTTGATGAATCTTCTCAGTGTCTACGTACACTTTGTGCAAATGGTGATTTTCCCAGTTAGCGTAAATTTTGGAGAACTCCCAATCCTCAAGTTTGAGTAAACCCTCAAAGTCAAATGACCTTTACCAAGGTTTGGGGGAAATTTTGGGGTTTTGGTGCCAGTTCCCCAAAATGGGTCAAATTTTCACCAAAATTGGGAGATTGATCTAAACTGGTGGAAATTTTCGGTTTTTGGACGCTCTTAGCAGAAAATCTTAATGACTTCATAAGCAATTCCATACGACTGGTCACGTTTATCGGAAGTTGAGAGACTTAGTGTGCTATGTCAAAATAGCGAACCGAAATCCCCTCAACTGAGCAAACAAAAAAGGGGAGATGAAAGCTTTGGACAGGTTTCAGGAAAAATCCTCAGAAAAATTCAGGGTCGATATAAGCGACCGCGCATCTAGCACGTGGTAAAAGGTGAGAATTTTACCCAAATTTTCCCCATTGAGGGAAAATGCCTCGAAACTATATTATAATATTACGTGAAACGGAAATCTTCCTCAAAATTAACACCAAACTGCCTACTTTTCTCTTAAATTGAGAGATCTGGCGACAAATTTTAAACTTGCTACAACTGGTGCATGGCCAGAGCTTAGAAAAAACAGCAATTCTGACCGACCACGTGATATACACGCAAGACAGGATACAATCACTGGCGAACTCACCCGGCAGAAGCACAACCTTCTGAGTTCACAATTTGGTACAGAGCAGTAAAACAATGTCAAATTCAGATGTGCGCATTAAGGACAGATGGCCTGCATTGTAACTTTTCTCGTTTTATTCCGTACGATTCTAATCTACCAAAATAATCCTACGCGCGCTATTTAAAAAGGACAGTGGTATTTTTCCTCGCTGAGTAAATTTGTTTGTTTTGATCGTTTATTACGTATCGAGACTACTGTTTTCACTTTAATTGAATTTATTTCAGTTAAAGTATTCGACTAGAGTATCGTTTTTACTGTTCTCTCAATTGGTTTTGTCGTTGGTACTCTTGAGTACCTCTTTTTCAATTGTATCTGTTAGTACTTTTACTCCTAGCAATCTACAGCTCTTCACTTTTTTGGTCATTGATTATTTTTTTTGTTTCTGAGTATCATCACATCTTGAAAAAGAACCCCTCCTAAATGACCGGACAGTGTAAAAAAAGCAGTTGTCAACGTCCGGGTTGTCGTTATCCTGTTGAAAGCGGCATGCAGTGCGACGAGTGCAAAGGCTGGTACCACGAAGTTTGCACGAACTTAACGCCTGCTGCATTCAAACGGTTCAGTAAGAAGGGTTGTGTATGGCTTTGTCAACAGTGCTGCTCGGATGCAAACAGCTTGTTAACCGAG